CACAAGACACCGTGAAGCAGGACAGCGTGCCACAAGACACCGTGAAGCAGGACAGCGTGCCACAAGACACCGTGAAGCAGGACAGCGTGCCACAGGACAGCGTGCCACAAGACAGCGTGCCACAAGACACCGTGAAGCAGGACAGCGTGCCACAAGACACCGTGAAGCAGGACACCGTGCCACAAGACACCGTGAAGCAGGACGCCGTGCCACAGGACAGCGTGCCACAAGACAGCGTGCCACAAGACACCGTGGAGCAGGACAGCGTGCCACAAGACACCGTGCCACAAGACACCGTGCCACAAGACACCGTGAAGCAGGACAGCGTGCCACAAGACACCGTGAAGCAGGACAGCGTGCCACAAGACAGCGTGCCACAAGACAGCGTTAAGCAAGACGACAACCAATCAAAGTCGGCGTAGTCCGAAGCACCCTCACATCTTGGCCGTTTTTATATATATAGCCCAAACCGAATACCTCCGTTCGGAAGGTCCGTCCCGCATGTCGGCAAATTTCGTGACCTCCTTTACACGCTCCGGACATGGACCGCAGGCCTTGACGTAACTAACCACAGCTCCCATGACGCGTGACTTTCCAGCGGCGTCGGTTTTGGTATTTTGCACTAACGGAAACGCTTTAACGTTGTTGCTATCTAGAAGCCAACCACGCGTTTTAGATTGATCCATGCACAGTAATCGGTAGGGGTGCCGGATCCGTGATAGGCCTGGTTGCAACCTTCGTTCAACAAATGTTCTTGGGGCCCGGATACGTTTTCGGTCGCCAGTCCTTCCCTCTCAGAGAAACAAGTCTGGCGCCGGCTCAATGGCGTACGGCATTCCGGAAGGCAAGCCCGTCGCGCTTCGAGAAGTCGCAAACACAAGTTTGTGACCGACCAAATTTGCGCGTCGGAAGTCAGATTAAACGCAGCGGCACAGTGCGGGTCCGCGATTGTGTCCCCCTATCCTGAATGCGGGCACATTATCAACGTAAGCGTTGTACTCTATTTTGCCGGGTTCTCGAAGAAGGTTTGGGGATCCAGAATTCTACGGCAAACATTTTTCAATGAACGATGACTTACGATTTCGCAAGCAGTACATAATCTACTGCGTCTGGATGCTCATCATTGTTAGAGGGGATAGCGATGTCGCAGATCTTGAAGAATTGGGCCAGTTCATCATCGCTAAGAGGCGTCTCCCCCATCTGCAACACCCGCTTCAAGACCACCTTACTCAGAAACCCAGTCCGCTTTGGATCAAATGAACCAAATAAGGTGATCACAGAACCCAGAGACGGCAAGCCCTGACAATAGCGGCAATAGAAATCAATAAATTGATCGAACGTCAAACCCTCAATTGCCTTCCCGGTAACCGCCATAAAAAACTCGTCCACCCACGAGTTTAAATCCTTCTCCGATGGTACTTGGCCCATGCTCCGAAATAAGAATTTGGTGTTGTACTTGTCTAGTAAAGCGCTCTTCGGGTCGGCCAGAATCTTGAACTGTCGGCTGCACATTGATAACCTGGCTGATGACCGGATAAACCTTACTGGACAGCATCCAATTGCTTCTGGCTGAATCGATTCCGCGTTACAGCCTTGTTAATAGTGGTCATGAGAGCGCGCACACGTGTGTGCTAGAGATAGATAATCTCGCATTCTTCTCAGACTTGAAATTACGGTCAGCAATTAGTGTGAAGTCTCATTCGTCTACAAATTCTAGCTCCGGCACCTCTGCCGACTCATCTACTTGTTCGTTTACTAGTTCGGGCAATTCCATCATTTCTGGAGAAAGCGCACCCAGGGTGGTTAAAGATCCATCTGCAGGATTTCTGACCCAGGTCCAGTGTCCCTTGGCCATGTTCGCTTCTGGAAGGGTGAAGGTGATGAATGACCCATCTTGTCTCTTGAACTTTTTGTAGAGTCTCGTTTTGCTAGCAGATCGCATCGTTTTGAAGAAAACGACATCACTGAAAGGGGAGGGTGCAACATTTATGCCTTCAACCACATCCGTACATCTTCCACTACCGCCTGAAGCACAAATCATATCGAAAGCTTTTCTTACTGTCAAAGCCACGTCTGAAAAGCCGGCAAAGAAGAGGTCCATTATGTTGAACGAGACCTGATGCGAACTCTTCGCTGCTTTGAATCCAGTGCTTGACATCATTGACCAGGTCTACCAGCAGACCCTTATATACAATAGTACGCGAAATGAATTACATTGGACGGTATGAATATCAATTTTATTCACGTATTTGTTCATCATCGCAGCTACCTGTAGAGCGTTCTTTTGCTTGCTTAATTCTAACCATAAAATTGCGTTGTCGTATCATAGAGAGATCGACTTACCTTTTCGGGTTTTGGTCGTGAATTCATATTCATTGGGTCCCTCCAATTGTTGGGTTTTGTCACATAAAGGAATTATTGATTGAACTGGATGTGACATGAGACTGCATAAAGGTCCTGCTAACACTTCCCTTAGTAAATCTGTATGCCGAGCATCTTCCTCGAGTATTTGAACGTATGCTCTTATGGCCTCTGAAACACGTAATGGGGGACTGTGTTGTAGGAGTCAAGGTTGAATGTTGGGGTACTTACTATTGGTGAGTTTAAATGCGTCGACGCTGGTTGGGGTGTTTGGGTTGTATAAAAGGATGGAGTATAAAAGTGAGAATTTCATTAATCAATGGCCCATTACCAGGCCTTTTCTGAGGTCCATATAGAGGCTGACCTGGACCAAGAATTGGCCTTCACGATTACCCTAGAGCTGATAGACGACAATTTGGCGGGTGCGGAGAAGGAAATGATGATGCGTGTATTTCCGTTCCATGACGTAGAGCTTCTGAAGCGGATGCTCCTGAAGCGATTAAAGAACTTAGCTCTTTTAAAGATATCTGACCTTCAATTCTACCATAACGGTGTCGAATTAAAGAATCGCCGATTATTGATAACATTCGCTAATCTAGAAAAGCCTGTGTTCCAATGGAAGGTCAAAGAAAAGCTCGGCAAACATCTCGTCATCAGAGGCATCCGACAACTGGGTGGGATGAAACTTCCATCACGCCATATCAACTGGCTACAACAAATCAATGCTTGCCTCCAAGCACAAGTGAACCCTAAACTTACAGACGAAGGAACCGGCAGTACATACATACTCTGTAACCAAATCAACAAGCCAATTGGGGTCTTCAAACCCACTAACGAAGAAGCGTTCACGCCGTTCAATCCACGAGGATACATTGGAAAAATGGGTCAAAAAGGATTCAGAGAAGGAGTCGTTTCGGGGGAAGGCTCCGCTAGAGAAGTTGCCGCTTATCTATTGGATGCATACTACGGCTCACTATCCAGTACCGCCCTGACCATCGCCCTGACCACCTTCCCTGACCACCTTCCCTGACCACCGCCCTGACCACCTTCCCTGACCACCGCCCTTCCCTCCCGCCCTGACCACCGCCCTTCCCTCCCGCCCTGACCACCGCCCTTCCCTCCCGCCCTGACCACCTTTCCTATTTCCGTTAGATGTTCCGGTGACGATAATGGCAGAGGCAATTCATCCCCATTTTTGTTATGACCCTAACAACCCTCGGAAGACGCGTGGCGATGATTTGGCGTTGAATGGTTTATTTCGACGAAAGAAGAGAGTGGAGAATAGTGAGCCGGGTATTGAGTTGGTTCAATGGAAGTCGGGTAGTTTGCAGCAATTTGTGAATGCGCGAGAAACGTGTGGTGATTATGATCCGAGTGTGTTTTCAGTAGCGGATGTTCACAAAATAGCAATTTTAGATATTCGATTATGTAACATGGATCGGAATGACGGCAATATTCTGGTGGTGAGACAGGACCAGTTATTGTTGGATGGAAAATTGGCTGACTCATTTGTAACTGCATTTCTACAACAGCATGCACAGTATCAGAGAACACATTTGTTAACACCTGAAGGAAAGCAGACCAAGTATAGACTGATCCCTATTGACCACGGTCTTACATTGCCGGATTGTTTCGATATCACTGATCTCGATTTGGCATGGATAAATTGGCCTCAATCACATATTGGTTTCTCTCCGGATGAGTTGGAGTATATTGAACGATTGCGCCCGGATAAAGATGCCGAATGGGTAGCCGGTAAGCTGGATATCCGACCGGAGTGCCTTAGGACCATGCAGGTGTCTACACGCTTACTCAAGCGGGCAGCCAAACTTGGGATGACTTTACACCAAATTGCGCTGCTCATGGTCCGATTATCACCTAATCAACCATCACCTCTCGAAAAGCTTGTCAAACTCGCCCTCTCCCAGGCCTGGTACGCATGCTACGCCAGCCACCTGGTCCATAAACGTGCCAGTGAAATGTCTTGCGTCATGGACCTCGCCACCCCCACAGCCATCCCACACGACACTGAAACATCCCTCGGCAGCGGACGCCACCAAAAATTGCTGCAACTCAATGAAGACGTACTCCACAGACACACCAGCGTTGACGACTCCATAGGGTCCTCCTCCGCTAAACGACCCCGGTCCAAAACCGTCGTGCGAAACTCCCGCTCAACCACCGCAGAAGAAACACTTCAAAAAACTGCCAACAGACTCCGGAACTTCACCAGCCTCAGAGCGTACGCACCACACCCCACACCGCCGCCCTATAAGTGTGCACACACACACCCTAACAACACGGGTGTCTCGCCCCCATACCCTCTGTTCCTTTAGACGCGTGGATCAGGACAACATGAACTACTTGTGGACTATAGAAGACGTTGGAGGACGGATCATATACCCCGACTGGGACGATCCGACTTTCCTAAAGTAACAACACACACTCACAGCACACACACTTCCCCCCCCCCCCCCTACCCAGACTGCTCGAAGCAAGTCGTTCTCGAAGCAAGTCGTTCTCGAAGCAAGTCGGGTGTTGTAAAAAGTTTTCTTCAGACGATTTTTTGACTCCTTGGACAACATTCTCGCGTTGCAACTGCACAACAGCTGAGCGAAGTTTTTCGTTGGTTGTCGACGTGGCTCGTCCGTACAATTAGCGTCCGTACAATTAGCGTCTGTCCTGTGGTGGCACCATGATCCTGTGGTGGCACCATGATCCTGTGGTGGCACCATGATCCTAGCAATCATCCTAGGTTGATTGTCCATGATCGGTTGTCGACGACTTGATCGATCCATGACTGAGGTTGCGGATCTCGTCCGAGCGTGAAGGCCACCCAGCCCTGTTATTGCTGTTGTTGTTTCTGGAGCTCTTGTTGTTGCTGGAGATTACGTTGTGTTTTGATGGCGTTGTTCTTCTTGATTTTCACCAGCTTGAGGTCTGCATCAATACGTTTGCGTTGGAGCTTTTCTTCCTTATATTTGTTGTAAATCGCGTCCGCATCGCGTTTGCCAAGGTCCCATTGCCGTTTGTAGTCGAGCCACTTCTCATCAGCGTCTCGCGTCCGCATCTTGATCTTCAACCATGCCTCCCTGGAACGTGCTTGCTCATGTCTCTTAGCCTCGCTCAGGTCCAATTCCAACTTCTGGACCTGGCTCATGAGGTCATTAATTTTGGCCGTACTCGGGCCCACAGTTGCGCTCATTCACGAAAATGTGCCAAGGCAAAATCCTCTTAACAGATCTTGTCTGCTGTAACAGATCTTGTCTGCTGACCCACCCCCTGTTGTGTGGAACCCGGTAGGTCGAAGCATCTTCGCGTCCTCCACAAAACATTTCGTCAAACGTTCCACGCCCTTCGTTCCATGGCCTTCGAAACACGGCCTTCGAAACAACCTCCTCTCTAAGAGCCCGCCCGACAGGCAGGCCTTCAAGCCCGAGCTCTTCGGCCTTGAAAGCTATTTGGCTACTCTCCAAATAAAGTTGGTTTCGTACCCCTGCTCTTTGGTGGCTGCGGTAAGAAGTTCAACGAAGTCCAACCGATCGCTCGAGTTCTCGAACAAAAGAATTACCGGTATGGAGTGTCCATTGAAATAGCACACGACCACATTATTACCTCCTGGGGGAATGCCCTCGGTGGGCCACTCCTTCTCGGGTACTACGTCCATTATTTGTTTACGGGCGTTCTTAATGGCGTTCTTGGAGTAATCAACCGATCGCAGATCCCTCAACTTGTACAGTTTAGACTTGGGCCCGAAAGACAGGAGCACACCCAGCACGTCCGGTAGCTTCTGACTAGAGTTCAGGTTCCCTAGCCTGGACGGACTCCTCAGTGACAGAGCCCCCATAGACGGACTCCCCACAGACGGACTCCCCACAGACGGACTCCCCATTGACGGACTTCCCACTGACGGACTCCCCACTGAGAGACTCCCCACAGACGGACTCCCCACGGGGGGACTCCCCACGGGGGGACTCCCCACGGGGGGACTCCCCACGGGGGGACTCCCCATGGAGGGACTCCCCATGGAGGGACTCCCAACGGAGGGACTGGCAGTTCGAGAGGGACTGCGCGTTCGCGAAGGACTGCGCGTTCGCGAAGGACTGCGCGTTCGCGAAGGCGAGAGGCTGCTGACTGAAGGCGAGGGACTGCGCCCCGAGAAAGAGGGACTACGTGCCGAAGGAGAGGCGGTTGGGTCCGAGCCGTCGGCCAGGAGAAGACTAATGACAAATCCATGGAGCAGCCGGATGCCTCGTGGGGCCCGGACGACTGCGGACACGTCGACCCGCCGTAGGAAGCGCGTCATTATAGCACGCACTCGTTTGTCGTTGGCCTCCACCGGGGGGAAATCGGGGTCGTCTGCAGACGTCATGGGATTCGAACCGGCGACCTTCTGATTCGGTGCCACCGTGCGGACTCGACGGCGACTCGGCAGCGGCTGCACCGCCCGGCTCCGGTCGATCGTCAAGTCCCCCTCCTCAGCGCGAAAACTCTCCAACTGAGAGGACCCCAACGTCGGGTCCTTTTGCATAATCTTGTTCAATAAGGCCGATGCCACTGGGTCCGTGGTAATGTCGATCGCCTCGTACGCCTTCTGCATCCGGCAACTCTTCTCCGGTCCCATCTGCCACACCAGGTCCGCCGCAGTCACGTCGTCCTGGGATACGCCCCCACCCTTTCCAGTGCACCCCTCACCAGAGCTGTGACGTCCGGAGCTGTGACGTCCGGAGCCATGACGGCCAGAACTGTGACGACCAGAACTGTGACGACCAGAGCTGTGACGACCGGAACTCCTTTGCACGGCCCGTCCCCTATCCCTCTGTTCGAGAGCAGGGTTGACATGATCCTCCAGACAACCGTAGCTCGTTGACCCGTAACCCGTAGTGCCCGCATCCCCGAACCAGTCCATCTTCGTTTCGTTCGGGCGAGGCAAAATCTGTTCCGCCGAGGAGGACCCGCTCACTGACAAATTAGATAGGTAGTCAGAAGGTAAAATGATCTTCTCAATTTTGGAAGCTGCCAACGTTTCTTGTCTCACTTTCGGGACCGAAGCGGGCGGCGTGAAGTAACTGAAACTGATGGAGCTCTGTTCCGGTGACAGCCGGGAACGGAGGGGGTTCGGACGTGAGAGGAAGCCTACCAGGGAGTCAGGACCATCCCGACAAGCAGCAATCCGTTCTGCGGGAAGCACACTAGGACCACCAGAAAACGATCCTGTACATAGGTGTCGTCCCCCTGAGGGGAGTTGTGTATTTGAGGGGAGTTGTCCCCCTGAGGGGAGCTGTCCCCCTGAGGGGAGTTGTCCCCCTGAGGGGAGTGATCCACTTGTAGACAGTGGTCCCCGTGTGGGGAGTTGTCCACCTGGGGGGAATCCTCTTGTTGAATTGTCCCCGTTCCTTGTAGCGATATACGGATTATTGATTGGGTCCAATAACGGGTTGAAAGGGGTGCTCGCTTCCGGCTTCAAGAACGAAGACGACTGAAACACAGAGTGCTGCAGGTTCGCCGCCGGGGGCCCGGTATCGAAGGCGTGGGTTCGAGACGACCGTATGTTAGACAGACCCTTTTTCGGCCGCGGCAGGTAGGCACCCAGCGCACCATCCAAGTCCGTACCAGCAGCTGTGCGGCCCGTCGTACGGACTGTTGCACTCCCGGTTGGGGTATGGCACTCTGTCCGATGATCCCCGACAAAATGGCCGCGATACTCAGTAAGGTAGTTATCCAATAAGATTCCCAAAGCAGGCGACCCAGGACGCGGACGGGCTGAAGGAGACCAGGACCGGGCCGTGGGCGAAGGTGACCTCGCGTGCGAGACCCTAGCCCTAGAACTGGGAGTTAGCACCGGTGTCGAAGGCGAGTGGAAACATTCTGGAGACGGACACGGAGCATCCGGAGACGGAGTCATCAGGTCCAGCCGCGTTATAGTGCGCGATACCACGCGGGTCCCTTCCTTCGTGGACACGCTTCCTCTCTCCTCGGTCTTGTCTGAATTCGCACCATCGGTGTTTGCATAGACACCGTCATGGTTTCCATTGGTATTACTGCTGTATGCATTGGTAGCATGCTGGTCGACACCCCCAGCATACCGGTGTTCAATGACAGTAGCATGCGGTTCAATTACAGTAGCATGCTGTTCAATGACAGTAGCATGCTGTTCAATGTAGGGATGTTGCTGAACATACTCTATACCGATGTTAAGATCGGAACGAATGTTTACCCGATGTTGCTTCCGATGGGAGTTCGGGCCAGGCCCCCCACGGGGTACTGCACGTAACGGAGTGCTGGCGATAGAAGACGAGCTGCACATGGGTGTAGCAATGCCCGTGGCCTCGGGCATCTCAAGTGCGGCGACATCCAGAGCCGCAGCCTCTAGAGCAGCAGTCCTCAACGCAGCTGGGTCGGTCTCAGAGAAGGACGATTTGGAAGAAGGAGCTCGTGAGGAGTAAGGTGGCAGTCGCGACCCAGAAGGACTCGCGGTCCAATGGCTAGTGGAATTGACTGCCCAGCGACCGGAGGAGTCTCGACTCGTGGACGTCTTCTCAGCAGCGACAGGTCGCCGGTTCGACGCCGTTCCCCGGGTGGTTGCCGACCCCCGGGTCGATGTAGGAACCCAAAACTCGCCGTTCGTATGTGTGCTGTACTCATCCCCATTGGTACCGCTGGGATTTCCTGCCCGCTCGGTGCTATTCTCATCAACGGCTCTCTTCTCATCAACGGTTCTCTTCTCATCAATGGTCTTGCTGATTTTGGAAAGCTGGTTCCTCGCCGTCCAATGTGGACTAGCTTTCCAGGGCATGGAGGCTGTCCAGGCCACCTTCGGTGACCAGCAGAGACAGGGATCGCGCTCCGCAGAGCTCTTTCGGACTGTACTTATTATCCCTGGTACAATTTGAAGATCGTCCTCATCCAAGAAGACCCCTTGCCCATAGATACCCCTCCCATCGAATCTTGCCAGATCTTGCGCTTTAGAAAGCTGGGAGGCCCTTCCAGATAGAAGCCGCACTTCATCCGAGGTGTTCATAAAAAAATCGACGGCCTGCCCCCTACCCCCTACCCGAAACTACGTGGAAAGAATGGAATCCAGGTCGGACCCTAGAAAGTCTTTGAGTCGCACCACCAGGATCCGCTTTTAGTGCAGCTTTGGTTATTTTTAACCTCATTTACCTCACTCATTTACCTCACTCATGTCGAGATCAACCAACCCGACCGCCGGCAACCAGGTCCGGTAGCGAAAGGTTACCACGCACGAAAGGGTGAAGCCCAACTCACTAACACGGCGAAGCTCACGGCGAAGAACCACTAAGAAAAATTACATGACCAAACACTTCCACCACACCATGGAGACCACTAACTACTACCCCTGCGGTATGCGAGCCTCGTGCGGTATGCGAGCCTCGTGCCATAATGTTCTTCGATTCCGGATTTAGGACATAATGTTTCAGTCCCCGTCGTGTTCTCAGACCGAGCCGATCTTCCCGACGATACTGTTCTTCCCGCGGCATCGTAGTCGGCCGTCGATGGCTGTGGGTGGGCCTTGTCGCTTCCACCCTTCCTGCCCACTTACTCGCAACCTCGGTCAGGAGATGGACGGTTGCTATTCGATCAATGACGTGTACGTTTCGGTTGAAGGTGAAGGCTTCGCGTAGGTAGCTAGGTTAAGCTGATCAGACGGCAACGAAGAAGACACTCGAGGCTGGGTGGCAGGCAGCGCCATGGAGGTGACAGCTGATTGGTTTGGGGCTGCAGCCGTGTGAGTGAAGTGAGGGCAGTTCGCCGGTCTGTTTGTACATATACGGGTTTACGATGGCAGACGGCTGACCCATGGTTGATGAGAGCACGTCTTGATGGCATCTGAGTGGCCTAGATTCGCAGGAGAGAGAATCGTGACCGCTGATGGGCCTTTGATAAGCGAAGGAACTGGTGACTGAAGATGACACCCGAGTGGTAGATAGCGGCCAGATGAGCGGAGCGGTAGCAGGAGATGGATTCTCGTAAGCACACTGTGATGACGCCGCAGTGGACCGCGGCTAGTTGAAGGACGAAGTGGCGACAGGAGACTGAACCACGGCTGTCGTAAGTATGCGTTGATGACACGGGACTGGCCGATGGCTGACTTAAGCTGAAGTGGCGGCCGAAGACCGACACGGTTGCTGGAAGCACGCGTTGATGAAGTGCTAACTGACGAGTGGCATGTGGTTAACAAGAGTACGCGAGGACGGCACTCCTGGCCCACGGTTGACAGCTGGACTAGGAGAGGGGGCATGTGACTGGCCCATGGTTAGTAGCCGGACTAGGAGGGCATGCTACTGGCCCACGGCTGTGAAGAGTTTGGGATGACGACACACCACTGGTCTACGATTGGTTGAAGTATTAAGCGACCGCAGACGAGAGGCTCACGGCTGTCACAGGTGCCTCGGAATAGTAGGTGACCGGTGTGTGGTGAAGAGAACAGTATCCCCATGGCGGGTGATTGGTGCAGGGTTGCGTGTAAGAGATGGATGGCCCCCGTGAAGCGGCAAGGCAGCTGTGAATGGTTTCGTGAGAGGTTGTTGGAAGCGTCGGTGGATGTATGTCAGGAAATACCAGCTGGCAGACGAGATACTGTACTGTAGTGAGTGCTGGATGAAACTATTCTGTCGAGAGGTCCGACGGTACTGTGTGTGCATGAGGTGTTGCAACGGGGTTGGGGAGTTCGTAAAAATCTCAACCATTCGTTAACGGTCAATAACAAATCGGGTTGCAAGCTCCCAGTTCAGGCATTAAACAAGTGGCAGGAAAACAAACGTGAACGTGTTTGCCCGTTTCTGAGTTGTTGATTTTTTAATTTTTTTTCGCAAGACGGATTGCTGAAGATGACGCGTGCAGTGCTGGGGGGTAGAATGGAAGGTTTGTTGGATGGCAGGAGTGCTTTGTTGGGAATGGTGACTATTCCGACTGAGGAATCATTCTTAATAATGCGTGGTACGGATTTTGGTCAGACTCGATTGGTGAGTGCGGGGGAAGCGCAGGAGGAGATGACGATGTCAAAATTTGAAGGGAATATTTTGGATATGAGAGTTAATAGTCTATGGAATGAAGAGCTCCGGCAGTTTATATCAGAGTCCAAAGTACTTGCATGGTCCAAAATGCTTCGAGGCGGGACGGAGTCAGTTATCTGGAACCTAAAGGAGGAGCCTCTAAGCCATATTATTCGAGGATATGTCTATCCTGGTACCGATAAGGTGGCTGATCCCACCCTTCTAGAACTTATCGATGAAAGAACGGTCTTTCTGCTTTGTTTTGGAGCACGCGATCAATTCGAATCTCAAACACCTCTCAGACACTGCATGATTAATACAGACGAACTATCCTGGCTGCAGACTAACTATAAAAAAATTAGAAACGCCTCCCCTGGTAGTCGATGGAGGTTGGTCGCGGCCAACTACCTGTCAGAGAACGTACTCAAAGCCCTTCGCATTCTTGACATTGCCAGAACTGAATAATAACTACTCTGGCCAGATCAACTGCCAACAAACAATGTCCGACCGTTTCTTTCCGACCGTTCCTTTCCGATAGATGGTTCATTTTTTGACTGTGCAAACACCTACCGCAACCACCAATTTATGACACACGTCTTCAGTTTTGGTTATGTAATTCGGGCAGGCTGATGCGGCCAATGTGCAGTGAGCTGTCATATCGGGAGAACCAACCGTCGACACGACAGGCGATAGGCGGTTTACTGAGCGTGGTCATCATAGGCAGCGAGCAGCCATTTGTGACCATGCTCGGCTCCGATGAGAGTGTGAGTTTGTTGCTGGACTGTGGCCAAGCCGAGGAAACGTTCTACGTAGACGTGCAGGACGGTGTGATGGATATGCCAAAAGACGGTGAGTTGTTTCGCCAGCTCGACACATGGCTTGACCTGCAACGACGATGGTGCCACGGACTCAACGAGGACGAAGACAACAATGACGGTCTGTACAAGAACAGCGGTGGCCTGTACAGTAAGATGTTGTACAAGGAGGGTCTGTCCAAAACAAGTTTGATAGCGGAGGAGTTCGGGATTCAGAATGTAAACAGCGAGCCGCTGACTGCCATCTTGGCCACCGGTCAGTCTGTGGGTCAGTCTGTGCACAAGCTCATATTTGGTGTGCAGGGTCATGAATGGTTTAGTGCGTACTCTGTGCACGTGCGGAGGATGCCGCCGGCGCTGAACGCGATCTTACGTCTCCCGACAGCACCCAACGGGCGTCCGCTGGCCCCATCACCGGACCTGCAGCAATGGAAGAATGTCTGGCGTTTGTTCGCAAACAAATCGCGGTTCCGACGTCGCGTTGCCTCCATGATCCACGACTTTGACCCAGTAGCAGAGGGGTACGAGACGATGCAATGTTGTTGCGAGTCAGAGGAATGCAACCAGTGCATGAAAGCACGTTACTCCAGACCCGGCGTTAGAGGCCAGTCGTACCGGCCACTCTTTCCACTAGCCGCTAACAGGTCGGTAGCCAAGATCATTGCCAACGGGTTACCCAGGGCGAACGGATTACTCAGAGCTGCAAGAGCGTTTTTACGGTTGCTTTTGGACGAGGCGTGAGTCTCGGCGTGAGTCTCGGTGTGAGTCTGATCACACACGTCGCCATGGTCTATACGATGGTGTGGTCACACACACTTCCATGACCATTGTGTCGTCCTCAGAGAGAACAAAATATTTATTTATTTTCGTAATCTCTAGGTTGAATCTGAACTTAGTGTTGGCTGAACTTGAAGTCGGACTGAACTTTTTGGGGGGTTATTTTTTTCTGGGCTATGACGCGCCCCATCCGGAGTAGTATTGAAACTCGTGGTTGGGTGAGCGGGCTGCTTGGATTGGTGACTGTCTTGACCGAGGAACCGTTTGTCATGATGCGAGGTTCAGAAGAGAGTGTTCGTCTGTTGTTGTCATGCGGGCAAGCTCCGGCTATGTACTATATTTCGGACGTACAAAATGACGCGATGGACTTGTCGAAAGAGAGCGAGCTATTTGGGAAACTGGATGCGTGGCTTGGGGAGCAGGAACGCTTTTGTAGACTCAGGAACGCTTGTAAATCATTCTGGCAAAATGAAGAGAGTGAAGCGAGCCACGAGGCCTGCAGCGAAATATGCAACGAACTTCACTTTGGAATCAAAAATGCGAAGGCTAAGCCCTTGGTTGCGATTCTACCGGAGGTGGTTTACGGGCAGTTGGTGTATAAACTGGTATTTGGGGATAAGACCGGCTGGGATGAAACAATCAAGAAAGTCTTTTATGCGGAGACGGAAGCAAGATTTCATACGGTCGGTGCGTGTCGTGTGGGTTGTGGGCGTGTGGACGATGAGAGTAGCTGGGACTTGCTGCCGGCCCATTCACTTCTGCGTCGGTTGTTTTCAAAAGCAGCTTTTCTAATCCCCTATGGTTATGACATAGTGGTTCGAAGTGCGATGCCGGCGGAGGAATTGACACAGAGAACCACGCCAAGCAAACACGGCATGAAAGTCCGCGCCCCTCGGATTAGTCACAGTTCTCCGAAACTCTGCACTAAAGCCTTACCACCCAAGGCTTGCTTGCTCGCGCTCACGCTATCCCCCACCGTCACCATGACCCGGATGATGGCCACCAACATGCCCAGCGCTTTCAGATGCTTCTTACGCGTTCTTTTGGACGACAGGATATGACCCCAATCTCGATCACTCACCCCTCGGCCCTAGCCTCTAGCCAGTATGTCACAAGCAGATGCAGCGCTCTATTAACGTCACACTGCCGACGTTAGGTTCTCTTCCTTGACCACTCCTTCACCCATGACTACCGGCTTTATCAAGACGCATCAATGCCGCAACTGACTTTTGGGATACGAACTCTAGCGACAAAATGCACCAAAACGAAACAGAGAAGTCGCACCAGAGGGAACGGGGTCGGGGTGGGGCCTGTTACGTTTTTTTGGAATTCGGTGGAGGCTGTGTTGATGGATTTCTGGAGCGCTGTGCAGGGCCAGCCGCACCACACCGTCGATGCAGAGCTTTGCCCACCGCCTGCAAGCAGCTGGCTTCCCTGCGCCGCTAGTGCACGGCTTCCGCGCAATCGAAGTGCCTACCCGGCGGTTCTCTGCTCCCGCAGTTCGTGCCGGACATTTCCCTCCTGGTCTCAAGAGCGGACTAATGTGCCCCCAAGTGCCTAATTTAATGAACCCAACACAGTCCGCGAAATTCTCGATTGATTCGCGCACCCTCGTGGAATTCGTCGCTATGCCGTCGAATTCCCCTGGCCTGGACCGGCCGCAACCTTGGCGGCCCACCAACCTCATTTACGGGGCTGCTGCCGCAGTCTTTCCCCTCGTTCCTCAAATACGAACGCGTCCCCGACGAACCGCCCATCAACTTCCCCGAGCTCGGGATTTTCAACCCAGCGAATGCCTTTGGTTGTAGCACCATTAGTTGTAGCATGTCTTCGGTACCAGGTAGCTACTAAACAGACATGGAGAGTAATCGGCGCATATGCGGATTGGCTAATCAAATATCTATCCGTAACCAAAGCGTGGGTCCAAGCGCCCGCACTTTTGAGCTTGGGAACTGATGTTGCGGTGCTTGGCAGCCATTTGTGTTTGCTGTCAAGCATGCTGCATAAGAAATAGCTCATTGTCGAGAACTATATTTTGCAAGTTACAGCAACGAATAAGAGTATAGTCTGCCAGAGAGTCCGCAGTCAGAGGCCTGTTGTCCTGGGGAGTGACCTGATGATCTCCACAAATCCATATTTCATGAGCTTTTCCGAATACTTCATCAAAAGGAAATGGGTTAGGAGAGGATCGAACTCTCGACTTCAGGATTATGAGACCTACGCGCTACCTACTGCGCCACCAACCCGACTTTGGAGTTTAGCTCTTGGGAAGCAGGAGAACTAGTATGGGTTGAGTGTAAAGCGGAGTGTGTGTTGTCAATCGACAGCGGGGTATTTTCTTCGCGCGTGTGGCTTGAAACTTTGTGGTGGTTGTGTGAGGGGCTGTGTTATTTATGACGGAACTTCACGGGGGGGGGACTCAGGAGGCGGGGACTTGGGAGGGTGGCATCAGAAGGAGGCGGGTGGTGGAAGGAAGCTCGGTCGGAAAAAAGGGTCCAAGCTGGGATTGCTCTGGTTAAAATTCTCGCCGCTTATATTGATGGAATATGGGTAAGATTTTGCACCAGGTCCGGGGAGGATGCACCCCTCTGCAGACTCTGAACTGAGGACTCCAGATGAAGAGAATTTGACCGATGAGGAGGATGCCATGACCGATGTCGCGTCCACCGTGGGCAAACACAAGAAGAAGAGCAAATTCAGATTGAGGGTGCCGAAGGCCTTGAAAGGAAAGTCCAAGAAATCGGGAGAGAAATCGGGAGAGGGCAAATCTGTGGCCGATGACAAGTCGATAAGAGACAAGCATTCGGTCGCGGGCGATCTTGACCTGGAGGTGCCTTCTCCCGTCCTTTCTGAAGCGGGTGATCTCTCGCCCACTCTGCACTCTCAAATGTCGGAGAGAGAACTTCAGCTAGAAACAACCAAGGTAACACTTGCAATTGGGTGTGTGCAATCGTGTGTATGTGTGCGCGCAATCGTGTGATTGGGTGTGTGCAATCGTGTGATTGGGTGTGTGTAATTGGCTTTGTGTGGCAGATGGCTCTTTCGGAGATGATCGAGAAGTACCGCGAGCTGAGTGAGACGTTGGAGCTGCGTGAGAAAGAGCTCGAAAAGGCGCAGCTGGCGGGTGCAGCGGTAATGGAGCGGTCGGCGGAAGAAGCGCAGCTGCAGGCGCGCGTGGCGGAGTTGTCGAGTGCGCTGGAAAGCCGCGGGCGCGAGCTGGCGGAACGCGACCGGACGTTGGAGACGCGGGAGACGGAGTTGGGTACGGAGTTGGCGACACGTAACCAAGAGTTGGAGTCGCTCCGTGGGCAGTTGGCGGCGCTGTCCGAGCTGTCGGGCGCCGAGGCTTCTGGACGCGAGCGGGTGCTGCAGGAGCAGTTGCAACAACAGCGACAGGAAACTGACGCCCTGCGGTCGGAGCTCGACGAGATTGAGAAGCGGAGGCAGGAAGCGGAGTCGCAGCGACAGGTGGAGACGGAGGCCGCGGAGACGCAGCGACAGGCGACGGAGACGGCGCTGGCGGCCGCGCGTCAGGAGTTGGAGACGGCGCGGCGGATGGCCATAGAAACTGAGGCGGCGCAGAAAAGGCGCGAGTCGGAATTGGGTCGCGCATTGGAGGGGCGTGAACGGGAGTTGGCGGAACTTCGGGAAAACCTAGCGGCGTTGACGACTGCGACAGCTGAGGGTGCGCGCGAGAAGGAGCGGCTGCAGCAGCTGAGTAAGGCGCTGGAGGCGCGGGACGCGGAGCTGAAGACGCTCCGGACGCAGCTGGTGGAGGTGACGGCGCGGGCGGAGACCGCGGCGCGCGAACGCGCGAATGCGGAGACGCAGGCGGCGCAGCAGGAGGCCGAGGCGGCGACGAAGACCGAGCAGCTGGCTCAGCGGCTGCGGGCTAGAGAGAGCCAGCTGGAGAAGCTTCAGCAGGAGCGCGAAGCGCTCCTGCAGACCCACCAGGAGGAGGAAGTGCTGCGGCGGCAGGATGAGGAGGAGAAGGAACAGCGGGGGCGAGAGCGAGAGCGACAGCTGGAGACGGTGCAGCGACAGTTGGAGGCCTTGCAACGACAGTTGGAGGAGACGAACTCGAAGGAGCAGTTGGTTGCAAGGCGCGCTGAGGACTTGAGCGAGGCGGCGAGTCAGCGCGCAAGTGAGCTAGCGACGTTGCGGATGGCGTTCGAGGCGCAGACAGAGGAGCTGGAGAAGGCGCGGGAGGCGGCAGCGCAGGCGGCGGGCGAAGCGGCGGAGCGCGAAGCCGCGCTGCAGCGTGCCGCGGACGTGCGCGAACGCGAGATGGCCGCGGTGCGGGCGGAACTGGAGGTCGAGAGAGAGGCGCGGGAGACGTTGAAGGCGCAGGGCGAGGAGAAACAAGCAGAGGAACGTGCGTTGCGACAACGTGGGGAGCAGCGAGCGGAAGAGTTACAACGGGCGGCAGAGGCGCATACAGAAGAGTTGACGCGTGTGCGCGCGCAATTGGCGGCACTTACCGAAAAAGCGGAAAAAGAGAAGGTTAGTCAGGAACAGTTGTTGGCGCAGCGCACGGCCGAGCTGGCCCAGACGACAGCGGAGCTGGCGCGACGTAGTGATGAATTGGCAGCCCGCGATGCGGAGATGCGACAGCGCGATCTCGAACTTCTAAGACAACAGTGCGCAGACGGCGCGGAGAACAGCGAGACGGAGGACGCGGTGGCAGAAGACACACTCGCCCAACGGATCGAAGACCTCGCTGCGAAAGAGAACCAATACCGGCAGCTGGAGCGCGAACTGCGGCTACAACAGGAAGTGTTGGCCAAGGAACGCGCCACTGTCGAAACACGCGGTCGCGGGCTGAGCGAAAAAGAGACGGAACTGCGACAACGCGACGTGGAATTATGTCAACGGGAGACAGAGTTACGTCAGAAACAAGAGGCTGCTGCACGCGACCGTGCAGCGCTCGAAGAACAACGGGCTGGGCTCGAAGAACAACGTCAGGACTCGGAAACACGTAAGATCAAAATCGTGCAGAAAGAACAGGAACTACGTCGTCAGGAACTGGAACTCCGACGCCGTAATGAGAGTCTGGCAGAGGATAAGGCGGATGCCGAGAGCAAGAGCGCTGACCTTACGAAACGACTCCAAGAAACCGCAGCCAAAGAGGCTGAACTCCGCCGTCGTGAAAACGAGCTTAAACGGCAACTCGAAAAAGCGGAGCTGGACAAGACCTTCCACTCCGAAAAGGAGCAACAACTGGGCCAACGCCTCGGGAACCTCTCGCAGCGGGAGAACCTCATTTCGTTGCGCGAAGGTGAACTGAAAAAGCAACAGGCAAGTTTGGCGGTAGAAAAAACTTCGCTCGAGGAGCAAGAGATCCGGCTGTCCGGACAGTCGAGCGAGCTGATGACCAAACAGAGTGAGTTGAAGCGACGTGAGGCGGAACTCCGGCGACTGGAGCAGGACCTGAAACAGTCTTCAGGTTTATTGGAGACGGAGAAGCAGTCCTTGGAAGAGAGGAGTGCCGAGTTGGATAAGAGGTTCGAAACCATGGCGGCTCGCGAAGCTGAATTGCGGCGACAGGAGCAGAGTTTACGGCAGTCCTCAGGGCTGTTGGAGACGGAGAAGCAGGCGATTGAGGAGAGAAGTGCGGAGTTGGATAAGAGATTTGGATCGATGACTGCGCGCGAGACGGAGGTAAGGCGTCAAGAATTAGAACTGCGTCGACGACAAGACGCTGTAGCGTTAGAAAAATCAACTCACTCTGAGCTGGTATTGGAGGTGGGTAAAAAGCAGGGCGACTTATCGCAGAAGGAAAACTTATTGGTCTTGCGCGAGTCTGAGCTGCAGAAGCAGCAGGAGGCGTTAGCCCAGGAGCGGTGCCTGTTGGAAGAAAGACAGGACATTGTGGCCCAGCGGTTGAGGGAGCTGGCGACGAAAGAGAGTGAGATGCGACGTCTGGAGCCGGAATTACGGCGGCAGGAGTTGGAGGTTCAGCAGCAGCTGGATGGTGTGAGCCAAAGACAGGCGGCTGTGGCAGAGAAGGAAACGGAATTGGAGCAGAGGCTGAAGGAATTTTCGGCGCAGGAGAGTGAGGCGAGGATTCGACATGTGAAGATCCGTGAGCAGGAGAAGATTTTGGCTCATGAGAAGTCGACCATCGACGAACTACGGAAGGCTTTGGCGGACCAAAAAACCTTACTTCAGCAACAGGCAGCGGATCTTAATTTGCGACGGGCGGAAGTAGCGGAAGTGGATAAGGGAAGCGAAGCTAAGCAGGAATCAACCATGTCCGTGGCATTGCCGACACCAGGGGGGCCGCCACCTGCAGTGGTCTATAGCAACATCATTGCGAACGTGGGGCCTGATAATTGCGCACTAGTCAGCTCGCCTGATGGTGCACATGAAGTGGTATGGTGTCTGAAACAGCGTTTGGTGGAGGCACTATTTGAGACCTCCAGTGGCCGTTCTGCTGGCTACAACGTCTTCGACCCGGCCTCTGCGCAAATCAGCGTGAAGGCCGTGGAGGGACGGCCTGAAGTCTTGCGTGTTTTACAACGCGTCCGAAACTTGTGGAAACTAGGCGAAGACCTCCGACTTGCCCTAGTACAAGGCGACCCGACCCTCGCTGGCGCCTATCAGGATACCACTACCACTCTGGCCGACTGGGAAAGCACCCTCGCTACTCTCCGAGGTTCCGCCGAAGTCATAGAAAAAAGAAACAATGACCTTGAAAGACTCGCGTCCAACTATTCAAAGGCACTACAAGAAGCTAGACACATCGCCAAAGCCGACAGAGAAAAGGCTAAAGGTATAGTTAGTTCCCTAAAACAAAAACTCGAGAACCTACAAGAAACGAAATTACAAGTCCAGACTGAAAGAGATGCTCTACTAGTGGAAATGAAGAAACTGGAGACACAGATACAGTATCTCACCTCCAAAGCCATCGCCAACTCGTCTCTCAAAGTCGTCTCGGACCATATCAACGCGCCCAACCTTGTTCGGTGACTGAGCTGGACGCACACACGGACTGGTGCACACTGACTGGTGCACACTGACTGGTGCACACTCTGTTGTCAGAGTGTGGAGTCCCGGGAGTCGGGGTGCGAGTGTGATAACTAGCCCTTTGCTATATACAGGACCGCCGTCACGCGAAGACTTTTTGAAGCATTCTTTTTTCAGGGGAAACGCCCTAATGGAAGTTCAACACTCCGCGTGCAGAAACCCATCTTCAGGGTAACTTTTTTTCATGGGTCAATCAGGGTTGAAATGATCAGGCCCGATCCCAAGTTTTTCATGTAGCCAAAAATCCGTCTGATGCCACCAAAAGTAACTACACATCTTCATCATCTAATCGACTTCCTCTAGTCTTTAACTGATCCCAATTGGAAGCCTAAGGAGGGAGAATTAACATGGACTCGATTCGATAAGTCTACAGCACGAGCCCTTGGGATTATCATAAGACAACCTACCAAAGCATCTTCGGACGAAAAGGCGGCTTGCCAAAGAACCGACAGCGTCTACTGTGAACTGGACTTACCTGATCGGTACGCCATCGCTTGCTTGGATGGAGAAGATTCACATGTTTATGTACCCCGACATTATATAAAGCCGTTTGATAAACTTGCAGCACTCCAACTGAAATGTATGAAAGCTAAAGCTCGGGAGGTTAAAGACTTGGTAAGCAACGAGCGCGGTAAGCAACCAGTCGCGCAACATCTGCGCAGAATATAGATCTGCGCAGAATATGGACAAAAACCTCCGTGTTTGTTGTTGTATGTTTGTTGATTTTCAGACGCCCTGGGACAGAGACAAGAGGAAGTCTATCAAGGCAGCCTTGAAGTGGCTGGATAGCAATGAGAGTTTGGAGGCAGTGCATGATTTTTTGGAGTGTCCAGAGTGTTGTGATGAGGGAAGCGATGGATTTTGGAAAGCGGTGAAGTTGAAGCGAGGCAATGCTAATATATCTCGTAAGGAGTCTCTGGAGAAGCGGCGGGAGTTGATTAAGCTCGAGGTCGCAGAACGGGATCGGTTGGTCAAAGAGAGGGAAGAGGCGAAGACTTCTAAAAAGGCGAAGAAGGAACGCTCAGTCAGCGGGGACGACGACTCTTCCTCCTCCGATTCCGATGAATCCGGCGAAACGAGTACACAGTACTCCGGCTCGTCCGACGACGCATCTGAGGACGAAACGGACGAAGTGGTTTCCAGTGCAGCCGACGAGGATGATGAGGACGAAGACGTGTCCGAAGAAGATGCGTCCGACGGCCCACCCGTCCGAAGGAGGAAGAAGAACCGCAAGCGCAAGCGACCCTACTTGGCAAGCACCAGTGGCACGGAAACCGAAGAGGAAGAAGAAGAAGAGAAACCCAAAAAAAAAAGGAAACGCTAGTTATGTACTTTCCCATTTTGACCATTTCTTATAACTCCGAGGTGGCTGCCTAAGCCACCTTTTCCCTTTTCGATGACTTCCGTCCTTACCCAACAACCCTTACCCAACAACCGTTACGAGGTTTCAAGTGTACACCTTATTAACCCCTTTGAGTAGAGGCTTCTCTTAACAATAAAAAACATCAAATACTGCTTATTCTTTTCTACCTTTTGTTAACTTGATCAGTGAAACTTTCTCTCAAATTTCATTAAGGCAATCAAATGAGGTGATGGTAACCTACCAGACGGTATCACCGTTGGTCACGATCTCCTTGCCCTGGTAGATGACATGAGATCTGAAGTAGAAGTCGACACAGCGGCCATAGTCTCCGTCGTAGGTGATCCAGAAGGGTGTCTGGATCGTGCCGGGTTCGCAGTCAGTGCCGGACACAGAACGGTTCCAGTACAGTTTAGTTGCGGCAGGCGAGTTAGCGGGGAAGCCGGAGGAGCCAACGCAGTCGTTGGAGGAGTCATCAGGGACGGGTAGTCCGAAGAGTTTCATGAACGCCTTGTAGCTGGTGATACGGTTTGTGGCTTGTTGGGAGCTGGAGGCACCGCGGCATTCATAACCGCCATTGATGATCTCGATGGTGGCTCCGAAACCGGGTACCAGTCCAGCGGCCTGGTCCACAGAGCTACCAGTCCAAGTGCCATCAAGGGCCCATGTCATCGGTGGCTTAGGGGACTGCGGAGTGACCGCGAACCAGATGCCGGAGGCGAAGTTCAGCCAAGTATCAGCAACGAGACCGGGCTCGTTCAGCAAGACCGTGCTGTCGCCGTACATCGTGCGGGAGAACCAGCCGTAATTGTAGTTCCATGACAACTGCTTCGAGCCGCGGCCGTAGTAGGTAACGCTGTCATTGCAAGGTGCGAACAAGCTCCAAGGTTGGTTCTCCACAGGGCTGCACGCCTCGTAGGCCGACTCCGTTGCCGACTCCGGGTCTGCCATGGTCTGGAAGGCCGTCTCTCTAACCCAGTAAAGACCTTGGAGATAAGTAGGGATGGGCGTGTTAGGGTCGTAGAACTTGGCTGCACCGGGGTTCTTGTTGTCTTCAGGAAGTTCTGGCTGTGCGATGGTCCACGCGGGAGCATTGGCGCCCGTTTCCTGTGAGTAGTGTGCGAAAGAGGCAGCCACGAGCTTCTTGCAAATGGTGTCCGAGTCGCGTCCGTCGTTATAAGTCTTGCAGTAGTCGGGGAAAGCTCCAACGGCTTTGAGGTAGTTTTCGTAGCTGTAGGACTTGTGACGCAGAGGGAAAATCTGGTCGAAGGCGTCCTGGCTAATGAATGTCTCAACCCTCTTAACGTTCTCAGGATTTCCTGCACTGCCAGGCGCAATCTTCTCAACCTGATCAGTGGGGAGGACACGCACGGCTTGACGCAGGATAGACGCGCTAGGATCGCTGTCCAAGGCGGCCTCTTTCGCCCGCATCTCACTCTTAGTCGGGAATGCTGGAGTCCAGGGGTCATAGAAAATCGTAGGCACATTGGGATCAGCAGCGGCCACCATTTCCTCTAAAGTCCACGCCTTGGGAGGTTCACCCGTGCACGTGCCAACTTCCTTCCAGGGTTCAGCGGGCGGCATGAGGCCGGGGTCAGCCCAGTACGCAGCCTGGTACACCTTGGTTCCCACACCAGCATAAGCACCCTGGTTGTATGAAGCAGTCGGAGACCAAGAGAACATGCACTCGCCATTCGGACCCGTGAAACCGTTGAGCGGTTCCTCCGGGGCGTCATTCGCGCCCATATCAATTCCAGTTGCGCTTCCGCCTGTGTTCGGAGTTGAAGGAGTGGTGGTCTTTGCCGGAGTTGGAGCGGGAGCAGTGGTAGGGGCAGGCGTGGTAGGAACCGTAGGAGCAGGAGTAGGAACCGTAGGAGCAGGAGTAGGAACCGTGGGGGCAGGAGTAGGAACAGTAGCTGGAGTAGGAACAGGAGTAGGAGCCGTAGGACGAGGCGTAGTGACCGGAGCAGGAGTAGGAGCCGTAGTTGCAGGAGCCGTGGGTGCAGGAGCGGTAGGGACAGGAGCAGGGGTTGTATCGTTACCCGGAACATTGCCTCCGTTACAGGCACCGTTTTCCATCTTAACGACACAGCTAATCAAGGAATCGCTGTCAGTCATAACATCAGGGCCGCAAAAGGCTGATCCATAATCAGACCCCCAGAGGCTGCACCGCTCAACACAGTAGTCGACCCAAGGACCGCTTCCAGCCTTCATAGCTGCCTCACAATCGCTGGTGGGAGTAGCCAAAGAGCAGACGGTAAATAAAGTAAAGGATTTCATCTTTACCTAATAGCAAACTTGTCCAATACAAAGACCTTGACTTAAAACAAAAGTAAGTTGATGTACGATAAAAGATTTCATCCTCACGGCGGGAGACACCGTGAATCAATCAATAGCTGGCGCACACATGATAGCTGCTGAGCCGTCCGGAGACACAACGAGCTCAGAAGAGATTGTCAACAATAAAAGAGGGAGGGGGGAAATTTTTACACAAACCTACAAGTGATGCTCAACCTACACTCCGATGCGACGACCAGTAATGTGGAGCTCTCTCCACGCAGGGACGCCCTTGGCGGCACCCCGTGTCCTCAACCCACCCCGGACGACTCAGTGGCGACAACTACTGGATGGGTTCAGGACACAATAGGGTTCGAGTACATGCCGAGGTTCCCGCCGTCAGAAGCCATGGACAAGTCCGAACGTGCCGCGTGGGTAGCAGCGCTCAATAGCAGCGCCTGGCCCAAGGCCGACATTACCGACGAAGAGCGGTTTGAGGACTGGCTAGATGCGGTAGCGGGTCTAGTGAGAGAGACCTCATACAATATGGACGAGACGGT